TTTCGGGACGAACAATACTATGGAAGGGGCAGTGTTACGACAGCGGTAGTCACGTGACTCTGGTAACACGTCATGATATTCTCGAAGGATCTCCTTCGGGGAACATCACGAATAATCCAGTATGTACTAGGCTCCCACTATTCCTGAATATAAGCGCGCCAGATAAAGCGAGACACGTTAATCGGAATTGGAATCGCAGATAGAGAGATTGAAGATATAGACAGTAGGCACCATAAGTAAAGCACGTGAATCGTTTTGAATTATAGCGTATGTTTAAGTGAAAGTGACTGTGGTAATTAAGTGTATTACAAACTTTGTAACGAGAAAAAATAACCAATTTTATTTAAGCCTTTCTTTCTTTGTATCGCTAAAGTTTCCCAGAAAGAATTTCTACGGAAAATTAACAAACGAACAGAGACGTAACAGTACTGTCGCGTATCTGCTTGTTTGATAATTTCCGGTATAAATTCTTTCCGAAGAACTTCAGCGATACAAGTCCTTTCATAATTAAAACAAGTTAATTCTTTCTCGATACAAACTTTGTAATTTGCAGAATTTCCAATCAGTACGTTAAACTTAACTACTTTTATAACACACACTATAAATCACAGTGACTCACACACTTTACTTACGGTTCCTACTGTTCGCTTGACTCAATTAACTATATCTCCGATTCCGTTGGTTTTTCTCACCAGGCTTATATACTAAAAAAAGAAGGCGTCTAGCAAACACTCGGACATTCGCGAGATTAATCGATAATTCATGATACTTCGAGAAACTCCGGCGCGCATACTCCCAGCGTCACGCGACTTCCCCTGTCGTAACAGTACAATGTCTGAAGCAGGTTTTGTCATCATCGGTTTAAGTAGTTTACCTAGACACAAGAATATATATAATGTATATATACAGTACAAATTAAAGAAGTCAGATGACTAAAGATTGCTTATTATAAAGCTTAATAAAGGTATCTTGTTGATGTTTAAAATTGGGGTGTTTTTACTTTTTAATATATACGGTTTTGTTGAGTTACAATATTTGAAAACATGAGTTTTTTACTATGTTCACCAAATAAAATAAAATAGTTATCAAATCAGATAAGTTTACAGTTTATAGATCATGGCAGGTGATTACATAGTCTTATGATTCGAATCTTTAATGAATATTAATTTTGTATTTATCCTATTTAAAAAACGTACATAAGTAACTTGGGTGACTGGCCACTTAATTATTTCCAACTGCAATCGTGATATGTTATAAAAAATATATTATTACTCTTATCAGTCATAGTGAAAAAATGTGTTTTTCGCAAAATGCGCAAAAAGGCGACCTTCGGAAAAGGTCTATGATACGAAACCAAGGGATTGCAGGGGGGGGGGGACGTGTACTAATGATAGAATATAATGGATGAATAGGCCCATCCAGTAATTGATTTGCAGATCCCACTAATATCAAGACTCTACTGGTAACTTTCCCGACTCATTGTTATTAAGGAACTACAATATCCTCTAGATTACAATATTACAAATTGGAATGCTTGTTAGGGAAATCTTGTTCCCAACATTCCTCTTTAATTTATGCATTTTTGTTCATTGTACATAATTAAACTTATATTTAAACCATAATTTATACTTTTTTTGTTCATTGACGTTTCTCGTCACTTTAAACTTACCGTGAAACGCCCGAAACTTACCGTGACTTCTTTTCGCTTTATCATACATTCATTTGCGCGGGTTGTTGTTGTTTATTTCTGGCAGTTATTTTGATTTAAAAATAATAATTTCTGAAGAAATAATTACTAATCAGGGGTGCTCGAAGATTAAGCAATCCTCCTTCACTCCTCGCGTGGCCTAGGAATATGGGCTTTGTGTAAACTTAAAAAAGGTAAAAGTAAAAGTAGAAAGTAAACAGTGAAAAGCAGAGTAAACTAAACTAAACGGCCGATATAGGACAGATTGTCTATCAGGGTGGCGGGGATCTCTAAATCCCATGTCAAGAATTTAATGCGGGAGGAAACGGGAGTACCCCGAGAAAACCCACTTTCACTGGTAATGACCAATCCGTTATCAGTGCCCGGTTAGCGAGAAGAAGTAAGTAGAGAAGGCAAAGTGAAGTCCGGTGCTGGGGTTGATGAACTTTTAAATGAGTTGTGAATTCTCCTGCTGTTCGCCATGGTTTTATTGGGGTACAGGTTCAGGTTACGGGATGGTTTTAAAGGTGTTCCCTGCCTTGATTAATCCTTTCTTGATTAAACCAGTTTATTGTTTCTTGATATAAACTTTGTAATACACAGAATTTCCACAGTCACTTTAAAATTAACAACCTTTATAACACACGCTATAGATCACAGTGATTCACACACTTTACTTACGGTGCCTATTGTTCCCTTGACTCAATTATCTATCTCTTCAATCGCGCTGGTTTTTCTCGCCAGGCTTATATACTAACAAATAGGCGGCTCGATCACACTCGAGCTTCCCTGAAATTTCGAGAAACTCAGTCACGCATGCTCCAAGCGTCACATGACTTCCGCTGTTGTAACAGTATAAATGTGTACAAGCTATAAGTACAAGCTACAAGGGAGAGTGAAGCTGATATGGCTGTGTCTGTTGTATCAACTAGGCGTTCCGTGTTAGGAGAAGGTCCGCACTGGGACGAGAGTAGCAAAACGTTGTTACATGTAGACTTGTATTCAGGAGACATATGTTGGCTAGACCCTCAGACTCTAGATACTCAAACAATTCATCTTGGTAAGTATGACTTGTAAGTTATAGACATATTTATTCATTTTCTTTTCTGTAAACCTTTTAAAGTTATGATACAACTATATCCAACTATCATTATTCCTACTCCATAGCCTAAACAGAGCTTTCTTTTCATAATTGGATTAAACAATGTTCTCTTAACTCTTGCAACGCGATGTGACAAAATACAAATATGTATTATACTCTATCATTCCAACTGTAAGCTTACCTTAAAGAAACTTTATGAAATGATTTAAGGGACCGTTTACAGTTATTATTATTGTTCGATAAAAGAAAGTGGGTGGGTGGATAAAAAAGCAAAAAAATAATAATCACGAACCTATTCAATACAGTAGGTAAAGAAAAAAAAAGGCCGATAGAGTTAATAATTGTGTTTACCTTTTTCTTATTAATAAATGTGTTTAACAGGCCATTCATTTCACTCTTTCTGACTTAAATTTCTAAACTAGACTTTAATATTTCAACATCTTGATATTTGATAGACGAGTTAGGGGTGTTTTAAAGCAAAATTTTGTGTAACTTACCATTCACAAAATTAAGGCGTTCTTATTTTATTGGATCTTTATTATTACGAAAACTAAATTATCTTAAGATACTCTTTTGTTGCATATACAACACAAATCATAAAACAACAGTTTAATTAAACACAAGTAAAATAATAATCTATATCTATATTCTATCTAATCTATATTCAAAAGTATGAAATATTAAAATATAAAGCAAGACAAATACGTTTAAATGTCTTGTATGAGCCTTTTATGTCACATTTTTTTTTATCCAACCTTAACACCCCAATTTTTTTATTCCAACAAACTTTTCTATGACTTATTATTAAAATCCTGAATGAATTTCACAAACTTATTTTCTATTGACAACATCACTACAGCGTATAATACACATTGTATCCTGGTATTTCTTGGACACGATTTAATACGTTTAAGCATTTAAAGACTTCTTTCCGACTCTTACGTCACAATAATCTATATTACTATTAGTTTGTTATTTTACTTAAAGTTTTTCTTGCACTGTTTTCTAAGAACGAATAGTTAAGTTGTAGTTAACGTTCGTATAAATTTGTACTCAGTCTTTAGTTTATATTTGTTAGTGTTGGATTTCGCGCAAAGTTACACGAGGGTTAATGCACTTAACTCTCCTAAATTTAGAAATGATTACTAAAAGGAAAGCAGCTAGAGAAGATCCCCCCCCAACCCCTCGCTAACCATGGGCTGCACTGCAACTTAGTGATTTTATCATTACATCTAACGACCTTCGGTCCCATAGCGATAAGAGTTTATCATAGTGACTAGCGATTTTTACTGCCTACAACAGTGATATTCAGGGAGAGAAGTCGCCATTTTGTATTGGCAAAATCACTCGTAAATAATGCAATATTGTTAATACAATACACACACTTTTTAGGGCATTCTGTTAAACGCCACTTCGTTTTTATTATATCTACAAGATGCGACTTGAGTCGTTGAGTGGCACATGGTACAATCATGTACTGTACAGCTGTTTGTAGACAGTTACAAAAAGCAGTAATGTGTATTTTTTGAAAATTAATTCTTGCAGTCTGACAATATTATTAGTGTTTGGTGAATATAAAAAAAATGTATAATGAATGATTGGAGGACTGTATCCTCATTGTGAGGTAAATTTCCAATCCTGTATAATCACAGAGAGAGGGAGATTTGTCTTCTGTAGACATTTTTAGTGGTATTTTTCGACGCATTTAGGGTCTAAATAGCGACATCTACTGACTTTTCAAGGTTTTTTCTTCTTCTATCGACTTCCTGCTTTGTGGAGGTGGCAGCACTGTTCATTGACTGTCCTAGTCGAACAGTAGGATTTATTCGTCACTCTTGTAACATACCAACAGCCTCAAATTGCGGAGCGCAATTTTTGAAGAGGGGCGGTAACGGGCCGCGAACAATGGATCCTTGGATTCACTGTCCGGTACGCTACCCTATTTTTGTTGATCATTGTGTAATAGCTTGTAGTTATGACTAATTCACGATCAGGAAAACTATGAGGGTACTTTTGAAAAGATTCAGTGTCAATCACTTTAGCAGCTGTCAAATGATCACTTTATGTAACTCGATCTTAAACATGAGGCATTATTGGATCATAAGCTTCTTTCATTTACCATGCTTATGTTCAGTTACCATGGTTACAGTCATTTGGGTAGTTTTTCTTATCTTGGAGATAGCCTAGGCAGGCCATTATCATCTGTAACAGCACTTGTCTGTGCGCTCCCTGGTGTTTACCATATCTTTTAGATGTTCCTTTTAAAACTGACATTTTTACGAAGTTTTTCAAATTCAAATAATTTGTTCCAGTTTTTATAGACTTAGGCATAAATAATAATATTTGTTTCGCCTATAAGTTCCAGTGCGTGAGAAATTGAGTTTTCATGTTTTGAAGATCCTTCTGACAAATGATTTAAATTCTGAAAATCCAATTTTATCCACCTGCTATCACCACTGAAAAGTAAATACAGAAAACAGTACAAAGATGGTGTAAAAGTTAGCGATCGAAGGACTTCCCTTTTCTGAGCCACTAAAACACTGCATTTAAACATTGATTATAGTTAGCGATGGATTGAGTGGCCCTGAAGAGGGAAGTAAAACACTGCATTTAAACATTGATTATCTAGTTAGCGATCGAAGG